ATACCCTCACTGAAGGCTTCAGATAACGGCGCCAGCTTGCATTTCTGTATAGTAATGGCTAGATGTGCGACAAGTTCCGCCAGCGTCATAACATCCCCCCCCCCCCATCAGATGTTGAGCACCGCTTAGAGCCCCACCGAAATCATCTGCGCAAGCGCGAATGACCCCAACCCCTGACGCGTCGATACGCGAGGCCAAATCGACCAGGAAGGGCGAGGATAATAACGCGTAGAGGGAGCCCGGTAGCGCGCGCCCTCGGAGAATCCCACTGCGGACCCAGTAGAGATGAGCAGTTTGCCCCGACACCGCCGCAATACCTTCAATAGTTGAGTATAGGAACGACACGCACACCGGGAGGGCGGGTGGGAGCTGGAGCAAAGAGAGGACGAGCATGAGGTAGTTCTGGTTCAGGGAAGGAAAGGCTTGGCCGAAATCCAGGGAGAAGAGGGTCCGGATGTCCTGGGACTCAGACGGTGGGAGGAAGAGTTCCCTGCTGGCGGCGCCCAGCTCCAACGCGCCCAAGCCGAAGTTCCTCCTTGGAACGATGCCCCGCTGACAGGCAGGAACAACATGATCAAGCACAGGGCGGATAGATGGTTCATAGTAGATGACAGTACCTTGACGTCGCAATTACGGAGCCCCAGAACGCGAACTTTGCTGGGGGAACGTGCCCACGAACCACTCTGGAGCTCGTCGTCATCAATGTTTTTTTTTTCGGGAGGAAGGCCTGCATGGTCGCATTCGCAGCGCCGGGCAGCACCAGGCCCGAGGAGACCCGCTTGAGGCAGGCCCAGAGGACCTCGAGACCAGAGGGATCGGCTTGCCAAGCCGCATAGGGGAGCCCATCTTCACCAGTAGCCGAGTGCCGAGCCCGAGCGAGGACCAACTTCATCATCTTGAACGAGGGGGGCGGGAGGTCGAGGTCACCGACGCGGGTGGGGGGTGGGGGGGGGGGGCATCTCACGGACGCAGGGCGTCGCAGCAGACTCGCCCACGACTTCTGTGAGGATGCAGAGGCCCAGAACTTACGCAAGCGCACGAGCCGTGCCTTGGGCGTGGTCGCGGGCGGGAGGTCCGCGGAGGCGACGGCGGTGAGCGGTGAGCGCGCCTCTCCAGTGCGCGTAGTTGGGCCCTGAGTTGTACAGAGCCCCCATTCGGCCTCGCAGTGCTTGTGAAGCTCGGCGCGCGCAGCGTCTGCCGCCTCACGCTGGCCACGATCAGACCAAGCCAGGAAAGACTCGGGATGGCGCAGTCGCACCGCGCCGCACTCAACCACCAGGGAGTCAGATGCCACAAGATGAAAGCGAAGTAGCTTCTCTCTTAGAGCGACGTCCCGTCTCCACACGCACCGAGCAATCCAACGTGCAAGCTGCAGAAGGGCACGGGGGTGATGAAGATGGGCACTAAGGAAACGATCGCGTGTCTCACTGGCAACAATGCGAACCAGCTCTCTGCGCCGCTCGGGGCGGCGAGGAGGGGGGGGGGGGCGAAGCAGGTCGGCGCATGCGCCGAGGGCGCGACATCGCTGTCGGTAGAACGGGTCCTGGGGCGCGCGCCGGTCGATCGGTTGCATGTCACTGGAACGGGGGCTCCTCGGCGATGTGGCGAGAACAACCGTAGCGTGACCCGACGCGAGAACGCCTGAGACGTCCGCAGCCGCACCGACAGTGCTGACCTGGATATATAACTGGCATAGCATCCACCCAGGGCACGAGAGGAAGAGACGATCGATGCGCACTTCAGAGCCACAGGCTTTTTTATTTTTTTCGTAGCGGGCGGGCGAGGTGCTCTCCGCCTCGGGCAGCTCGGCAAGCGCGAGGCGCCAAGTGGCAGCCTGCGCATGGTTCCTCCGAGCCGCGCGGCGAACCGCGGCCCGCGGCATGCGCAGGACCGCGGCGTCCTCCGGCGCGAAGTTGAAGTCCCCATTGACAATGGCGAGGCGCTTGGTGGGGCCCCTCGCCGCGAAGGCGCAATCACCGCGGATGACGCGCGCCACCGCCGAGGCCTGCATGGCCGTGAGTTCGTGGTTGTGCATATTGAAGATGTCGAGCTGGATGTCCGCGACTTCGACCATCGCGTGGATGGCGCGCCCAGCCACCAGCGGGACAGCTCGGCTTGGAACAGGATGACCATCCACAGCACCTAGCGCAGGTAGGGAGACAGCCGCACCACCGCGCACCCTCTCTTCAGGTGCGTCGCCACAAAATGAGGCGTGAATTGTGACCGCGGGGTCGATCCTCCGAATGAATTCACTGAGTTGTCCAGCGTCTTGCCGAACCTCCTGAAGGGAGACAATGCCCTTGCCGATGCTCAGCCTTTCCACGTACCTCCTCTCGGGCGCAGCTCTAGCCCCAGCCGCTTGCAAGGGAGCCCTTGTGCTCCATGTCACTACGCGCAGTGGAGGAATGACACCGCCAGGTACAGGACCAGAATCTGTGAAAAGCCTCGCAACATCAAAGACACCACTGGTGCTCGGCTCGCGGCGCCACGAGGTGCCGCGTGAGCTGCACGAGACTGTTTTTGTACAAGATGTGCCTCTGCAGCGCCGTCGGACCCCACATGCTAGTCGCAGGCGCAGCACCCGTGGCAACCTCGGCACGGAGGATCCTGTCCCACCCGACCGAGAGCGTGCCACGGTCGCGGTCACTGAAGAGACGGAGGTTGGGATGGGCGTCGGCGATGACGGAGCGACATCGGCGGAGCAGCATCTCGGTCTTGATCTGGCGAGGGTTCTTGTCTGGGCCGAGGTGCATGCGCGCCCGAGCGGCGCCTGGCACGTCCACGTGGAACTCTTTCCACGCGTCATCAACACGAAGACGAGAAATAGCACGTAGGACCTTGCGCGAGGCCACGGCGACGGTGCCGCCGAACTTGAGGATGATTTTTTGCAGGGCGCCTGCCCTACACGAGAAATCTCATATTCTGACTCGGGGAAGCCGAGCTCGCCGAACCACTCAGTGAGAGCCGCACTCGCGAGCTGCTTGGTGGTTGCAGCCTGGCACATGATGACGACCACCGTGGCGTCGACGTCGCGCCCGAAGCCCTGCGGGACAGCCAGCGGGGCCTGGGAACGCTTCTCAGCAAGGGCGAGCTGGTCACGGATCTTGCATCTGCTTCTTGAGTTCGTCTACGTCTCCCTCAACCGACGATATGCGACCACCATGATCTTACAGCGTGCATGTGCACACACCAATATGCTCCTGGAACCGACGAGAAACATCATCAAAACTCCGCCGTACAACACCGAGAATCTGCTGATCGAGCGCCGCAGGCTGACCCGCAAGCTCGTCCCGTAGCTGGCCGACGAGGGCAAGCATCTTGCCGTTGGCCGAAGCGACGTGGTCGGTGACGCATGTTTTGACCGAGTTCGCCAGCTCTTCCTTGACACCCTCCAACAAGGTCGGGAAGAGGTCCATGCACACCTGGCGTACGTAGTCGTCAGACATGTACGCATCCTCAGTTTGCTGATCGCCTTCATCAGCGGCGGCAGCACGCTTGCGGGGAACGAACTTGCCGAAACCACCCGGAGGAAAAGAGCCACCAGCGGGAGCAACGCCAGGACCACCTTTGCCAGAGCCCCCGACAGGCGTGGGCGCGGGCTCCCGCGTGGCGAACGTGGGGCAGACGTCGATGGCAGCGGCATCTTGGGACGAGAGCTGGTGCGCGGGGGCGGCGGCCATGACTGAGGAATCGGGTGCGATCGGACCGACAGGAACGGGATACACCTCCGTTTGCCCACCGTCCCAAACGCAGGGATAGCGGATAAGAAAGAACTCCAGACTTCAAGAAACCTTGACAACCGCGGACTAGCGGTAACCGCTCGGCTCCCAGGGGGAACTTGCATCTTGAGCCAAAACGGCTACGGAGGGAGGAGGAGGAGGAAGAGGAGGAAGAGGAGGAGGAGGAGGAGGAGGAAAGGGAGGAGGAGGAGGAGGAGGCGGAGGCGGAGGAGGAGGAGGAGGAGGAGGAGGGAAGGAGGAGGAAGAGAGGAGGAGGAGGAGGAGAGGAGGGAGGAGGAGGAGGAGAGGAGGCGGAGAGGTGAGGAGAGGAGAGGAGAGGAGGAGAGGAGGAGGAGGAGGGAGGAGGAGGAGGAGGAGGAGGAGGAGAGGAAGGAGGGGGAGAGGAGGAGGAGGAGGAGGAGGAGGAGGAGGAGGAGGACGAGGAATTTGTGTTGGCTCTCTGGAGAGTTGGCCCTCTGGAGAGTGCCGGCGCACCGACGACCTCCACCCTGCCAGGGGAGGGAGTGGATTCGGGGAGGAGGAGGCCTGCTGCTGCTGCTGCTGCTGCTGCTGCTGCTCCGCCTCCGCCCCAGGGCCTTTCCAGGGGTGCGCTCTTGCTAGAATCTCGAGGCGGATCCAGCCGTGGCCACGAGGGCGCCCCAGGAGGCCCAGAAGCAGTTTTTGTTCCCTCGGCCGATTGGGGGTCACAGAACGGTCTGGCGACACACCGCGTGGTGTCCTCGAAACCCCGAAAGACCGAGACAACCGCACAGTCCGTCACCGCACCGTTTTGGGACCCTGGAGGTCCACGCTGGCCGTGGCGCCGTTGGAGAACGACCCGAGTCCCAAACCCGTCCAGTGACCCCCGATCCTCTCTCGACACGCGGTGTGGTCACCGCACCGTTCGGGAACCCCCGAGCCAACATGCGCTCAAAATATGTGCCAGACCCATCCCGGGGTCGACCCAGGCTTATTTTTTACCCTGGGCAAGCTTTTGACAGCCCCTGGGCCCAAAGCGGGTATCCACGGGACAAACACGGCGAGGAACCTCTTCGAGCCTCAATGCTTCTGCTGCTGCTGCTGGTCCTCCTGGGGATTCGGCCCCTTGACCTCTCCTGGGATGCGTTCTGGTCAGAATTTCCGAAGCGGATTCAGCCGTGCCGACGAGGAGCCACCGAGAGGCCTGGAAAGTGCCCCAAACGCCCACGCTCCTCGATTCCTCGAAGCTCGCTCTTCGAACCTGGAAGCCTCCCTCCCCCTGCCCGCCCCAGGGGTCTCCACTGCGCGCACGAGGTGAGAGGCCGCGAACAGTGGCCGCCTCGACTCGTCCAGCGCCTCCCGAAAAATCCGGTTCGTGCGCACGCCGTAGGCCTGCTTCAGCCCCAGCTCCGTCAGGCAGGGGCCTCAATAGGCGGCGAGCGAGGGGGGGGGGGGGGGAGTGAGAAGGAGAAGGCCTCCTCGGAAGGCGGCGGGACTTCTCAGAGGCCTCCGCGCCTCCTGAAGAGCTGTCTGCGTCTTGGGGGAGGGCTCCGAACACGTCTCGGAAGGCTCGGGGGCTTCCGAGCCCTCTGGGGAGGCCTTCTCCTCCTCACTTCCGCCCTCGCTCGCCGCCGACTCAAGCTTGAAGACCTCGGACAAAGGCTCCCCACTTCGATCTTCGCGCTGCGCGAAGCGCGAAGTGCGAATCACTTCGAGCTCTCGCGCCGCCTCCCAGGGGAGAAAAGGAGGCTGGAGGAGGAATCGGAGCCGAACCGCGAAGCGCGAAGCACGAATAACTTCGCGCCCTCGAGGGCGCACTTGCCGGAGGTCGAGGCTCGACGCATTTGGGCGCGCGGGCGGCGTCTTTGGCCCTCGTCGGCCCCCCGGGGTGGCTCCTCGTCGAGGCGGCTGGGTGCGCCTCGGAACTTATGGCCAGAGCGCACCCCTGGAGACATCTGAGGAGGAGATGGCCAGAGCGCACCCCAGGAGAAATCTGAGGAGGAGGAGGAGGACGACGACGAAGACGACGACGACGACGACGACGACGACTGCATCAACACAATGTGGCCTATAACAGATAGCCTGGAGGCAACGTCCACGGGTCAGGCTAAACAGCAGCATCGGGAGTCGTCAGGTGTCGGCCCGTACGTCTCGGTCCCAAGTCGTGGAGCTTGGAACATGTCTAAATGCACTTGCACTCCGCAGCCATACCAAACACTCGCCCGTGTGAAGAGTAGCAGTAGCACCTGGCGCACATAGCAACAGAACACACCTGCGTCCATTACTCTCAAGAAGACCCGAATCCAATCCGGGGACCGGCTGCCGCAGAACAGCAGGAGGACCCTGGGTGGAGGCGCGATTGACACTGCCACGGTGCAGCATTGCCTCAGTCCTGGGCCCGATCCAAGATGGGTGCATCGGACCGGGGTCCACACGCAAAGGCGTGGGACCAACAGGAGCGCGCTCGGGACGGCTGACCTGGGCGACACCTGGGTGGTCCGAACTGGGCCAGCGGGCCACCACCTCAGCAGCCAACTTAGCCACCATCCGAAACGTTCAGACGTCCCCGTCAAGCTGGGGGTGTCCCAGGTGACCTTCCCCCCCTATAGGCTCTCCTGGCCCCAATGTCAGTCCAGCAGATTCCACTGTTGCACATCCATCTTGTTGTGTTGTGAGGTCTACTCATCCAGCGACTGAGGAGCTTTGGCTTTGTGCAAGGCTCGGACTCTACAAATCTCACTAAGCAGAGAAATGAGAAACCGCCGAAGCCTGTAGCCTCTCCTGGGCGACAACTGGTCGCAGGGAGGCAAAAACAAGTGACTTGACCAGTTGGGCGCCAGCGCAAATGTCTGACGCCTCGCACGCAAACTAGAGGAGGAGGAGGAAGAGGAGGAGGAAGAGGAGGAGGAGGGGGGGAATGAGGAGGAGGAGGAGGAGGAGGAGGAGGAGGAGGAGGAGGAGGAGGAGGAGAAGGCAAGCGAAAACGGAGGAGAGGAGGAGGAGGGAGGAGGAGGGAGGAGGAGGAGGAGGAGGAGGAGGAGGGGCAGGAGTAGGACGAGGACGAAGAGCAGCAGGAGGAGGGGAGGTAAGCGAGGGGGACGCGGAGCAAGGACTGGTGAGCATGGGGGAGGGCAAGGAGAAGGAGAGGGGCGATGGCAGGCAGGAGGGCAAAGAGGGGCGCGATGGACGGGGGGCCTAGCCCCTTCGTGACGACGCGGTCCGTCTGATGGCGGCCCTCGCCGTGGCGGAAGATGACAACCCTCTTGAGGCCGTTCGTCTCCCTGGGCACCTCTCGGGGGCGGGAGGATGGAGGAGGAAGGAGGGAGGAAGGGTCAGGAGGGGAAGGAAGGATCAAACGGAGGAATGAGGGGAAGAAACACAGGATACGGAGGAGAGGCAAGGGGAGGAGGAGGACGGAGGAGAGGCAAGGGGAGGAGGAGGAGGAGGAGGAGGAGGAGGAGGAGGAGGAGGAGGGGAGGAGGAGGAGGAGGAGAGGATGAGGGAAGAGGAGAGAAGGAGGAGGAGGAGGAGGAGGAAGAGAGGAGGAGGAGGAGGAGGAGGAGGAGGAGGAGGGGGATGAGGAGGAGGAGGAGGAAGGAGGAGGAGGAGGAGGAGGAGGACGAGGAGGAGGAGGAGGACGAGGAGGAAGAGGAGGAGGTTGGAGGGGGAGGAGGAAGAGGAGGAGGAACACGGGGAGAACGAGGAGGAGGAGGAAGAGGTGGGAGAAGGAACGTGAAGAGTTAATGGGGGCAGGATGAAGGAGGGGGTCGAGACAGGATAATGGGGAGAGGGGGGAGTGCAGAAGCAGACGGATGGGCTGGCAGGAGGATGGAGGAGGAAGATGAGACAAGAGCAATGCTGGTATCCGGGATTATGCAGAGGAAGGAGGAGACGGGAGGAGGCAGGCGCAGGTGAAATATATGATGAAGCAGAAGCCAGGCTGACACTCTTAAGGCAGATGCAGCAGGAGGCAGGATGACACTCTTAAGATTGTTGGTTTCCCTGGCCACCTCTAGCGCGACCACTGCAACTGTTCTTCATGTTTGCTCCCATGACCCCACCTCCCCTCGTTCCTCGATCTATCACCCAATCCCACTAGCCCTCGGGGCGTCGGTGGTTTAGAGAGTTTCCTCTTCCACCCCTCCTTCTTCCCCTTCGGGGAGGGGTTTACCCCTCCCCCCCCCTCCCCATGGACCTGGACAGGGGGTGTCACGAAGTGTCAGGGCGTCCAAAACGGCCTCGGCGAGGAAGCCAAAATCATGGGTTTTACTAAGGTTTGGGCCCACACCTGAGGGGGGGACCTTAATTAAAGCTCCCCTCTTGTTTGATCGATCTCCTCCTAGACGGCCCCAAGAAGCGCCCAGGAGGCCCCAAAAGGTCCCAAGATGGCCCCAAGATGGCCCCGAGAGGCCCCCAAGAGGCCCCCAGGAGGCCCCCAAGAGGACTCCAAGCGGCTCCAAGAGGCCCCCCCGAGGCACCCAGGACGCCCAAGAGTCCCTCAGGACGGCCCTCTACTCGCCTGGGCAAGGTTTCTGGATGGGCTGGTGGGGGTACTTTTCGGTCGCGGCCGCGAGACGACGGTCAGGCGGCGAGAGCAACGTCCGGGACGCGAACTAGGCGAATTGGCTAAGACAGGCGCAGGCCGGCCGGCCCACTCAGACAGCAGCTGCGGGCTGACGGGTGAAGAACTGATCGGCGCACTGCAAGCCCGGGCGCGCGCACTGGACATAATGTCACGGAGTTCAAGCAGCCGAGGCACAACCCGCACAGGGGGGGCGCGGACCACGATGGGCAAGTCCTCCGTGCTTAGTGATGACGTGATGGCCAGTGGAGTCAATCGCCAATGTGGCGCCAGGCTCCGAGCGGACGACCTGAGCTAGCCAGACAGGCTGAGCAGTCGTGAGCCGTGGTGCAACGCAACTGGGGAGGCTGAAGGTGGGCCTGTAGGACTGCACCTGCTGCGGAAGGCTGAACCACTCTGCGCCATGGCCAGCCCCACTCAGACCACGTCGCAGTGCCGGGGGGTAGTCGAGCGACTGCGAGCCATCCAGCGCGTGCCGGCAAGGCAAGACCACTGAGTGGGGGGGAACCCGCTGGCGTGGCGAGCATCGCCAGCGAGGAAACAAAGATGGAACGCACTGGAAGTGGCGGCGCCGTGACGGCGAACCGGACCAGAGCAGGTGGGTCCCCGAGAGAACAGGTTGAGCTGTACCTCACGGGGCACGTGGCGCCGGCACGGGCGGGGTGTGCTATTGTCTCAGGGCGGTGTGCCTGGGGGGGGCTGCGCAGTGGAAGGCAAGAGGGTCGTCGGACGCAAAGTCAGGCCAAGCCCGCCGCTGGCACTTCCACCCAGGCCCCTGGAACGTCAGCGAACACCACGTGGTCCTCCAGGGTCGCAGCTGACCGCCGCTGGGAGTGAAAAGACAGTCCATGCACAGCGATGGGCGCGGGCGGCCCAGGGAGGGGGGCGACGCCACCAACGTCGGACAGTACGTCGGCGGGCCCCGGTGCCAAGACCGGGGGACACCCGCCTGGCCCCCGAGGAGAGAGGCGGGGGGGGCGCCGCCCCTCTCCTCGGTCAGGCCCCCGCACCCGTGGGATAGGGGAAGTGGTTGGTCCTCCAGGGTCGCAGCTGATCGCCGCTCAGGACAGTGAAATGTTGGGTGGGTCCTTCGAAGGTCATGGCGCCGAAGGGCGGGTGGGAGCCTCTCCGCGGACCTCGGGCAGCGCTGAGTGCTGGTCCGTCCCCGCGGAGAGCGATGCCTCAGCGGGGATGGTGGGCGTTGGTCCTCCAGGGTCGCAGCTGATCGCCGCTAGAGTCAGTATTGCCAAAACTACGACCTGGATAGGTCGACCCGCCGTCGCGCGGGGGGGGGGTCCCGTGGCCGATCCCCTGCCTCCAGCGGGTGGGTTGGCTGTCGTCGTCGGACAGCAAAGTGAATGAGCCCGGGGCCTGTCTGCCCTGGTCGGGCGGGCCCCCTGTCGTGCCAGAGGGGGTGAGATGTCGGGTGCTGGGGGGGGGGGGGGGGCCCGCGTCGGGCCCGAAAAGGAGGGTGGGTCCACTTGTCCAGTGTGGGCTGTCTAGCTATGCCGCGCCGTGGGTGAGACGTGGGGCAACCTGCGCCTCGGCGGAGGTTGCCCCCAGGCATTGCGGCCTGAGCCGGGCGCGGCGAGGTGAAACTGGCCCCTTCGGGGCAAAGAGGAGCCGATGGGGGGGGGGAGGTTTCGTTGGCCAGGAGCACCAGGGATGCTGAGGTGGGCCGTGTCCGGCACAGTCAGCCCTGGGTGTAGGAGTCGTTCTTTGCCCACCAGCGGGCGCGCTTGTCCGAGTACCGGTCGCCCCCCTAGGGGAGTGCCGCTTGCCTTTTCCTTTCCAATCTGAGTCCGTCCATGGGGCTTCATGCCGATCCCACGCGGTCCATTCCTGCCAGCCCTGCCACTGGCTGGGGGTGGCTGTGCCGATGGCTCCAGCCCAGCGGTCCTGCGCAGGCGCGGGAGCGACCGCTCTGCCCTCGGTTGTCCATGGGGCGGGCTTGTTGCTGCTGCCGTAGTCGCGCTGGGCATGCGCACGGGCGTCGTGGCGCACGGAGTTCATGTGCTTGTCCCTGACAGCTGCCCAATTGACGTTGAGCCCGAGCTCACTATCCATCTTGTAAGCATCGTGCCCTGCGTCGCTCCCAACCTCGAGGTAATCTGCGCACGTCTGGGGTGTGTTCAGTTTGGGGTTGCTCTTGTGGCCTCCACTAGGGTCCTGTCTCAGGGCAGCCCGCTTAACCCATGCGTGCCATATGCCATTGAACGCTCCTCCCAGCGTCTTTTGTAGGCGTATAATATTATCCTGTACGGGCTCGTCCCTTTCCACGTCTGCAGTTGCGATGGTGCGCTTTGTGCATGGGACCACATCCCATGGGGTCGTTCAGATTCTTGTAGCGTGGCTGTGCGATCCTGACGTCTCTCCAGGGCGCCCCGTGGATCTCCGCTCGCGTGGGGTTGCCCATTGGTGATTTGGCGGCACGTCCTTCCCCGTCTTTGATGTCTTCTGACGCGGGCCGGTGGCGCCCCATGTCTCCTGCCGCGCGGCTGAGGGTGCGGTCGTCCCTGGCTCCCGTGATGTCCCAGGCCGAGCTGCTTGCCTTCTCGGAGCTGTCTCTCGCACTCCGAAGCGCCCGAGTGGCCGCTCGATCGACGGTCTGTGAGTACGGGGTCCAGGATTTGTTTCTTGGGGGCGTGCCCTTAAAGGCGTTTAAGGGATCGAAGGGGTCTTCCTCCTCGCCTTCGTCCGCCACTGGCGTCGGGCTAGCAACCGGGCTCGTGACTTTGGCTGTGGCGGCCTCGCTCCCCGCGTCTTCATCCCAGTCGGGGGCATCTGGTTCACCCTCGGTCTTGCCTGCCTGGTTGGTAGTCTTTCCGCTGGAGGGTCGTTGGCCCCGTCGCCGCCTGGGGCCTGTGGATCTGCTCTGGAGGGGCAGCCTGGAGCTGCCTCCCGCTCTGGGCCGTGGCTGTCTGCTGAGGGGGTGTCTGCTGCCTCGCCTGTCCTGTTCAGCCAGAATGCCGCTGGAGAGTTGGCCGCAGTTGCGTAGTCCGTGTCCGTCTGAAGTGGATCTCGGTTGGCAAGCACTCTGATGGTGCCGTCGGCGAGGGCCGTGGGATCCATTCCCACGAGGTATTGCAATAGGGTGCTGAGCCGCTGGCGGAGGGGACACTGGCCCCGCTGCTCGGCTAGGTCGGCGGCGTACCCACGCCACCTGGCCTCGTACATCCCGTTGGCCCTCGTTAGGTGGTACACTAATCGTACCGCCGCGGCCCGCTGGCCGTCCCATGGGATGCCGGGGGGGTGGTAGTTGTCGGGGATCGTCTCCCCGTAGATGTTGACCAAAAATTGGCGAAGACATCCGGGGGGCCAAGATCCTTCGTCGGTCTTATCGCCCGGTATTCCGGCTGGTGGGGATACGCGAAGCGTCTAGAATTTCTCGCTGTGTACTTTGGTTGCTTTGCATATCTCTCTCACTGTCTGCCTCCTCCCCGCTCTCTCCCTCTCTCTCTTTCTCTCTCGTTCCCCTTCGTGCCACCAGGACCGACACTGGTGATACGCTGAGACACACATGGTGCTACCCACAAGGCAGGAATGTAGCCGATGAGTCGGATGAAGAGGCAGAGGGTATGACAACTTCGCACGTGATTCGCAGGTCTCCATTCACCCGTGCGTTCGCCCATTGACCGTTGATAATACACCACACAGATCAATGTATAGTCGGAATGACTTGTTCACGACGCCCACGGCTGGCCTGC